AAGTCAGTGCTGACCACTCTATCTGGAGACGAGCTGGTTCAGTTGAGGGAGGAGCTGGATCTCATGAAGGACTCTTTCTCACTGGTGGAGTTTGACGACGAGGAGGTGGACGAGAAGAAAGGTATGAAGATACCCCGACCCTGCAGGAGGAACACATCACACACACAGACCTGAACCTGACCGGCTGTGCCGTTTGTCATTTCAGATGAGGACGGTTCAGAGTTTGAGAAAGAGTTAACGGAGGCGTTGGCGGGCCTCAGCGTCACCACCACGGCTGACAAACTCAGCAAGGTACTAGCTAACAATACATCTTTTTAAGGTTTTTTTCAAATTACAGGAAGATGATTTATACCTCAGAAAAGTTCAATCTAAACCTCTTTGGCACAGTCTGAATGTGAGACGTTTTATTGTATGTTATTTTATATTTTGTTTCATCGTGTTGTTCCTGTTTCCTGTTTCTGTCGTCGTCCTTACAGGCCTGTAAGAGCATTTGCAGCCAGATCACGGACATGAGCCGAGCAGAGAGGGAAGAGGAGGAGAACGACGAGGACACTCAGAGAGCTCTCTCTGTGGAGGTAAACGGATATTTCAGTTTCATATTTGATGCTCTGAGACGTCTCTCAGGACTCGATGATGAGGCTCGGCTCTGTGCTGCATCCTCCGAAAATGACGTCATAGACACTTACTGATCAGATTCCCTCCCTTAATGTGCTGCTCCTAACAATGTTTGTGTAGTGGATTCTTCTGTCTGCACAGCTTGTGTGTGTGTGTGTGTGTGTGTCAAACATTGTCAGGAGGTTCACGCTGCAGCCATCAGAAGTCTCGCAGAGCTGACAGCTCGATCCATCGAGCTTTTCCACAAACTGGCCGAGATGATCCTCTTCTCCAACGGCAGCACTGAGGCCAGCGCTCTCTCCCAGTAAGACTGCATGGATGTGAACCCCAGCTTCTCCTTTACAGCTGTTATATACAGACGTTTCCAAATGTGCACTCAGACAGGAGGGGGCAGGGCTTCTGAGGCTGGAGGAGAAACGTTCAGCTGCTTATGTTCACACATGCAGCTGCTCCTGGACACATCTGGAGGTTTTCAGGAATTTTGTCTAAATGTGAAAGCACTATAACCTAACCTTTCTTATTGTTTTTTTGTGTTCTCAGGTTAACTGTCATCCTGTGTAAAGAAATCTCTCTGCTTTCTAAGAAGTTCACTTCCTGCTTAACAACAACAGGGGTGAGTGTCCGTATCTTAAACGTATGAAAGTTTGAGTTTCATTGTGAAGGTGCAACAGAGCAGAACACACCTGAAGGTCCTGGTGTGTTCAAGGACACATGAGAGGAAGAGATCATCAAGTGTTTCATACCTTGTTTGTCTTGTTTGGGTTTGATTATAGATATACATATTTTTATATCACTCAAGCTGCATTATGGGAAGTGTAGGATCCAGTGTTGAGGTAGTTCGCCTCCACAAACCTCGAGTTCCCTTTTACTTGTAATCTACACCTGAGTGTCCTTATCTGACATATTTATTTAAGTTTATGACCTCATTTCTTTGTAAAGATGTTTGGGCTTTATGAGATAGACAGGGGCTATCTGCACCCCACTTAATGCCTTTTTGCATTTTTCTGTCTTCAACATTTCAGCTTGTGTGCACCTCATCTTGCATTTTATATCAGTGCTCACATTGGGTTTTTTTTTTTAAGTTTTATTTTGGGGCTTTTTATTCCTTTACTTTAGAGACAGGACGGAGAAAGAGAGAGAATGATTCAACAGGTCAGGTCGCTTGGAGCCTACAATATAGCGTCCGTACACGGGGCGCCCTCACTAACCACTAGGCTACCGGCGCCCCTCAATGCTTTTCTTTTTTTTCTTAAACCTAAAATAAATACAGAAAAGGTAACAGAACTTCCTGTTGCATTTTAAATCCTTGATGAACTTCTAAAAAATATCTGAACCTAAAAATCTTCTCTTTGCTGACCTCCGGTTATTTCCCGCCTCTCGTCTTTCAGCTACAGTTTCCCTCGAGCACACATCTGATGTCCAATGAGGTGCAGTGGAACATTTCTGTCGGCTGTCTCCAGCTGAGCGTTGACTCAGAGAGAGTACAGCGATATGATATTAACTAACAGACAGTGATGTGACCTGAATGACTCGTCTGTTCATCCTTCTGTTTGTTCTCACACTCTTTTCTGATCTGTTTAAATGTCAAGCTGCAGACATCTTCTCCTTCCACCTCCAACATTAAGACGTCTCTAATGACTGTTCTCTCTGCTGCAAGTAGTTCCCCTGAGAGCTGATGTTTACTGGATCTCAATGTTCTGTCTTACAGTCGAACGAGAAAGGAGATGTCCTCAACCCGCTGATAACGGGAGTCTTCCTGGAGGTATGTGCCCTCTTTACTGTGTCAGCACAATGATCATAACATATTGTGTACCTCATGTTGACCCTTAATGATTCCTCTCCCCCTCGCAGGCGTCCAACAGTGCGTCTTACATCCAGGACGCTTTCCAGCTGCTGATGCCCATCCTAGAGATCTCTTACATCCAGAGGAAATCTGAATCCACCGATCAGTGACCGCCCTGACGTCGCCTCAGGCTCGTCGTCACTGGACTCAAACTGACACAAATGTAATATTTTTTTTGTAAAAGAACAAAAACACCCGAGTCAGCGCTTTCTCTGTCTGGTTATCTGCTCAGGACAAAACCTCGTGCCTGAGAGGAGACGTTTGTTTTTGTCAAACAGTGTTGACTTTTGAACGTTTGCTTAAGATTTAAAACGGACTCTTATCATGAAGGTCTGGATCTAACAGCTGCTGGGAAACAAATGCATTTATAATAAAGAGGGAGAAACCTTTTGTTCTTCTGTCTATTCTGACACAGTCACTACATTTCAGCAGGTCGTGTACAAAGCTCAGTAATGCCCCAGGGAACACTTAAAAACAACGCACAGGATGGAAACAGAGGCTGTATTTGTGTTTTATAATAAATATTAAGATTCTGTGTATCGATATAAAGTTACCCTTTTCCTGTACAGAGAATACAGGCGACCTTGTTTTTCTATGCATATCTTTCCATATCAGTGTTGTGCAGCCCATCTTATATGTGAGCAGCTGGACGGATACTAACCACGATCGAACAGAGGGACCGTTTGAGGCTTACAGCGGTGTGTGTCGTCACGCTGCAACTTTTTGAACAATCTTCCCTACCGAGTTCACATTTGATGCTAAATCCACTTCCTCATGTTCCTCTAACTCTAACATGTGTCTCTAGTCCGTCTACAAACCCCCCAATGATGAGAAAAGTCCATCCTCTCCATCTTCTGCCTGCTCCACTTTTCAGAAAATGTGTGCTCAAGCAGGCCGTTTGGAGATTTTCCCTTCATGACATCACAAAGGGCAGTAGCCCCTCCCCCAGGTGGGTGACACTCCCACAGCTAGGTGTTTGTTCTGTCCTCTGAGTCTGCCTTCTCACTGTAAACAATAGGACATGGAGCGAGAAAGACCGAGTACACCCAAGCCCTTCCAGAGAGGGGGCGTGGTCAGACACAGCTCATTTACATATTTAAAGGTACAGACACAGAAACAGCCTGTTCTGAGCAGGGCTGAAATAGAGGGGTTTATAGACATGATCAAATACAGGATCAGAGTGGATTTAGAACAAGAAACTTCACACACATGTTTTGAGGAGCTCTGAGACTTATTTACACTGAAGAAGAGGAGGAGGAGGATATGTCACCTTTAAACATTGTGTTCTTATTCGTCATTTTTAAGCCATAAATATGCTGTTACAGGTTAGAAAAACGTTTTAAAAATTTTAACATGAGTAATTGAACAGGTAGCTACATTTCCTTCCTCACCTGCTTGTTCGTTAACCCCTTTCCCTTAAAAACCTCAAAGCACTGGCACCTTAAAGCGCCTGTGAGGAACTTTTGTGTTGTTTTTGGCACCCCCCTGTGGACAAAGTGTGATAACTATCTCCTGGCTGATCATGTCCTGTCCATGTGGAAGAAGTGTTATCTGACAGAAAATCTCTTCCTTTAATTAAATGTCTAAAGTACGACTCTAAATGATTCCTTGTCTGAGAATTTGTTTTTAAATGTATGTTTCTGCAGCGTGCCGTGTTTACCTCATATGACACCGAGCCCCTGGCAGTGTTTACAGGAATAATAAACAGTTATAAAGAAATAATGAATCTTCTCTCCGATGGTCTTACTTGCTTTTGTAGGTTATGTAAAGGCATCATTATTCATATCAGTCTGTTTCCTCACCTGATTCAAATTTTTGCCATGTGGTGGACACTGTATCTTCAGTGTTTAGCCAGCTCTGTATCGGTCTGTAAACCTTTCTGTGGTCTTACCTCCTTATATATACGCCTCTGTTTTCACTTGATTCCACTCTTGTAAATTCAAAACTAATTATTTTTGAAACCTCTCTCCATCTGTAATGTATTTAAAATGATTATCTGAGTTTTAAACTTAAATTTACAACCGACAAAGAAGTGTTTTTATCTTTGCTCGTCCGCCTTCAGGTGATGCAGTTTTGTGATATTATACGGCTCACAGCTGTGTGTCTGTTGGCATATGGAGTCATCTTTTCAATCACTGAACTGGACTGTTTATCCAGGTTTCAGATGGTTTACAAATACATGTGCTTTCTAACAGATTGAGTAAAAAATGTGTAAATTACAGGTTATGATGAATAATTCCAGTCAATATCATAATACAAAGGTTTTTTCTTTGGTGTAACAAGTTAAAATCGTTCAGGTTTTAAGATGGGTCTTTTTGTGTCAGCAGGTTTGTTTACCTGGTCAGTTTTTTTCAAGATGTTCAAAAGTTATATTGTAATGTTTATGAAAACAAATGAGGGCAAAATTATCATTAAAAAATTTAAAATGATCATTACTTGTAGAAAAATAAAAAAAAAATCTGCCTTTATGGTGTTTTTTAAGTCAGTACCATTCCAGCGCAGTAGGTGGCGTTGTGACATTTACCATTTAACTACACAACGAAGAAGAAGAGGAGGGAGAAAGAGAAACGTAGAAGAAGAAAACAAGCGGCGCTAACAACTAGCCTGGCTTGTTACGTCGAGGACATTCTGAGGTAAACGTCGTTTTTATGTTCACTTTAAGACTCTCCACGGCGACACAGCGTCACGCGTGGAGTGTATTTATTCACTGTGACACACTGAGACGTGTGAAAGCAGAGCCGGCTGTTTGCTCCGGTGATGTTAGCTTAACGCGAGGATTAGCTTAGCTTAGCTTAGCATCGAGCTAGCAGCGCAGCGTCGCTCGTAAGTTAGAATATTGTTTAAAACTATTTAATTTACTGAATCCTGCAGAGTTATTTAATCACACTCAGCACGTCCTGTTACTTTACATGTAAACGTGGTATTTATCTCAGTGTTATTGATAATCTGTGATTTAGCCTCATAAACATCAGCTGTTTCTCATCGTGTCGTCATGGTAACACAAAGATACGTCATTTAATTAACTTATTTAACTGTGACCAATCACTGCTTAATGTACATGTTGGACTGTAATTGATCTATTAGTTTATCTTAATGTTACGGAGCCTGTTGTCCCAGAAAAGTATTTCTGCGCATGCGCATGAGGGTGAATTCAGGCTCATGACCAGGACCAGGACCAGGACCAGGACCAGTTCACTACAGAACACATTTTAACATGTGAACAAACAATCTGATCCATGCCAAAATACTGAATTAAGCAGATACTTTTACATTTCTGTCATAAAATAATAAAATAATTAAATTTTATATATATTTATATACACACTTATATAAGTGATTTTTACTCTCTCTCATAGTCTGCAGATGTTTTCATGTGCAGTGCACACTATGATGTTTCTCACATAAAATACACTGCCTGTCCCAAAAAAAAGTCGCCACTTGGATTTAACTAAGCAAATAGGTAAGAGCCTCCCATTGGATAATAACTGCATGGGCGATTATCTTTAAACTGGCAACACGTTATTTAACCCCAAGTGATGCAATGAGTAGCTTCTCATTTCTTAAACCACTATGTTGAAAGACCCATCCTGTGGAAAGATGTTAGTCTGTTTGAGAAGGGTCAAATCATTGACTTACATCAAGCAGAGAAAACATTAAGCAGATTACAGAAACTACTAAAACTGGGTTAAAAAGTGGAATGAAGATTTCCCCTGTTCAGAGTGATCAGGGTAAGAAGAGAGGCAGATGAAGTGATGCACCCATCATGCCTACTGTACAAGCCTGTGGGGGCAGTGCTGTGATCTGGGGTTGCTGCAGTTGGTCAGGTTCAGCAACATTATGTGCCCAAAGAATGAGGTCAGCTGACGACCTGAATATACTGAATGAACAGGTTATTCCATCAATGGATTTTTTCTTCCCTGATGGCACGGGCATATTCAAATGGTGGTGGAGTGGTTCAGGGAGCATGAGACATCATTTTCACACATTGTCCACCACAGAGTCCAGACCTTAACCCCATTGAGAATCTTTGGGATGTGCTGGAGAAGACTTTACGCAGTGGTCCGACTCTCCCATCATCAATACAAGATCTTGGTGAAAAATGAATGCTGGACGGAAATACATCTTGTGACATTGCAGAAGCTTATGGAAACAATGCCACAGCGAATGCGTGCCGTAATCAAAGATAAAGGTGATCCAAAGAAATATTAGAGTGTGTGATCTTTTTTTTGGTGGCAACTTATTTTTTGGCCAGGCAGCGTATATTGTCTTACAACCTGGTCACATAAAACCTGGGCTCAGTTTGTAGTGTCAGGATAACATCGCATCGTGGGGCCCCTGATGATTCCCACCCCTATCAGACAGTGTCATCTCCTTTTCTCTATAAGAGACATACACGTAAAGTTTGTTGCTTTATGTGACCAAAAGGACTTGAGGGATGTAAATTTGAATGGACTGACGCTGCTGCTCTCTCTCTCACAGCAACTTGGGGTTAAAATATGACCAAAGATCTGGTATCGTCCTGTTAGCATTCTTGCAGAGGGATATAAGACACTTTCACTAACCCCGTTTTTTTCCCTTTTCTCCCAGAGTCGTCTTTCTTCAGCACACCGCCTCCCCTTCACCCCCCCTTCCAGAGCGCTGCAGGATTGTTGGGGCTTCAGCTCTCTCCCTGACCTGCCAACATGCCAGCCGCACTTACAGATTCCAGTCAGATAATCTGTGAAGTCTGGGCGAGCAATGTGGAGGAGGAAATGAGGAAAATCCGACAGATTATTCAAAGCTACAATTTCATTGCCATGGTGAGCATGAGACACTTTGGACGTGAACTTTGGTGGCGTTGAAAAGATTAGTAACTGCAGAGTTACTGTAAGGTTTTATTAAATTCAACATCAGCATCTCTTTGCATGAGCCATATAACTGAGTGGGGACAAGGACGTTGAATATTTTTGCAGGAAAATCTTCTTGTTTTTCTAGTAACCAGAAAACTATCAGTGCTTAGTTTATAAAGTGCTTCAACACATGTACAAAACCCTTCGGGGTGAGTTTCATGTGTGTGGGGTAAAAACAGAATTTTCCACTCTGACTTTACTCGGAGTTTCTCCTGCCAGCCTCTGAGTATTTATTTTCTACATGTAGTCTGAGTGAGCTGATGTGAGGAGGTTAATTTAAATTTAGAATAACTATGAAGTCTTTTGTTTTCATCAGGACACAGAATTCCCCGGGGTGGTCGTCCGACCGATCGGCGAGTTCCGCAGCACCGTAGACTACCAGTACCAGCTGCTGCGGTGTAACGTCGACCTCCTGAAGATCATCCAGCTCGGCCTCTCGTTCATGAACGAGGACGGAGACTATCCTCACGGCACGACGACGTGGCAGTTCAACTTCAAGTTCAACCTCACGTAGGTTCACTCTCGTACACTCACCGCTTTCTATCCGAAGTCTCGGCCCTTTTTAAAAAAAATACTAATAATATTTATTTATCATCTCCTCACAGAGAAGACATGTACTCACAGGACTCCATAGACCTGCTCCAGAACTCCGGGCTGCAGTTTAAAAAACATGAAGAAGAGGGAATCGACACGCTGTACTTCGCTGAGCTCCTCATGACGTCTGGTCTGGTGCTGTGTGAAAACGTCAAGTGGCTCTCCTTCCACAGGTACCTCTCCATTCTCACTCAGCATCGCAGCAGCTTACATGTTCTATGAAAATGTCTAAGGGGTAAAAAGTGCCGGCCAATAATAAGGGGAATATCAAACATTTTGGAAAGAGTGCTGGTGATGTCGACAGCGGCTTTCTGAAAAGTTGAAAGATTTTCAACTTGAGCGCTCAGAGCAGCTGCTCAAAAAAGGCTGAAAAAAGACGCTGGGTGCTGCACTTTTATTGAGACGAACGCTCTCTACTCATTGAAAACGATTCTGTCTTGAATGCGAACGCTAGTTGGAACCCCACCTCTAATCAGGTCACATTGAAATAAGAGAAAAGATGAGAACACCATGAAGCTTTTGCACAACCTGTCCATCCCAACCTGTTCCCTTTTTGACTTCTTCTTTTAAACCAGTAAAGTCAGTGTATCTGGTTTGATCCTGATCCGACTTATCTCTTTTTGTTCTCGTGTGTTTCTCAGCGGCTACGACTTTGGCTACCTGGTGAAGCTCCTGACAGATGCACGGCTCCCTGAGGAGGAACACGACTTCTTCCAGATCCTCAACTTGTTCTTCCCCGCAATCTACGACGTCAAGTACTTGATGAAGAGCTGCAAGAACCTAAAGGTAAAGTTGATACTGGGCAGTGAGTGAGTGAGAGAGTGAGAGAGACATGGTGAACCATACGACTGACTTGATTTGTGTCAATGCAGGGGGGGCTGCAGGAAGTAGCAGACCAGCTGGAGCTGAAGAGGATCGGGCGGCAGCATCAGGCTGGATCTGACTCGCTGCTCACCGGCATGGCTTTCTTTAGGATGAAAGAGGTACTCACACACAGTAACATCCACACACACTCACACACATCCAGAGTGTGTTTGTTTACTTGTTTTATCGAAATTAGTCTTGAGGAACCTCCCTAATATGAGCCAGCTCCACTCCTTCGTCGTTCTTTAAAGGAGCAGTATGTAACTCTGTCACCTAGTGTTTAAAATGGTACTGCAGTCTAAATTCTAAACATCATAGAGAGCTGTCTCCCCCCCCCCCCCCTCTCTAGAGTGGATGCTCACTCAGGTCACCATGTGGTGGACTCTGAAGCTTCAGTGTTTATCCAGCTCTGCATGGGTCTGTAAACCTTTCTGTGTTCTAACCTCTCTCCATTTTTCAAAAGCATCTCCAATATTGATCCTAGTTTGAGCACGTTTCTGCTCGTGGAGCTTATTAGAAACATGCAGAGGCTTTTTAGGTCGGGTACAATCACTTCTATCTGAACCACTTCTCTTGACCGCTTCCATCACTGCAACACCTGTTGACCTGATAACTGCTCTCATATGTGACAAACCGAGGGGCGTCCAAAACGGCCGTGTGGGGGGGGGGGGTCTTAAAAGCACCTACCTTCTCTGGTCCAAACAAATCCAGAGCATTCAGGAGCAGAATCTAAAGTTAGAAGGAGGACATACTGGCTGCTGCATTGTTGTCAGAGAAGCCAGCACTTCAACATAGCATGTTTCCTTAATGATCAGAGAGTAAGATACCTTTATCATCTCACTCTCTACACAGCTCACTGATGGGACCTTTAAAGGATCCCAACAACGTATTTCAACATTTTGTGACGCCTGTAAATCTACATTACGTATGAATCATTTAGTGTGGTATAATATTTACTGAAACCCTTTTCTTCTTCCGCTCAGCTTTTCTTTGAAGACAACATCGACGACGCAAAGTATTGTGGGAGATTGTACGGCCTGGGCTCAGGCTCCACCCAGCCCCAGAACGGCATCTCCAGCTCGGGCCAGGAAGAGACGAACAACAAGCACTGACTGAACGCTCAGAAACCTTCAAGTGGAACACGCACTTGTTTTTAAAAAACCCGACCAGCAGATCTCCCTCAAACGCTCGATCCCTGAACGAGACGAATCCCTCCCACGTTTCTTTTGACACGCCTCCTGAGTGGCTCTCAAACACGGACTCGCAGTGATACCGGATCCCTCACTGGCTCACTCCTTTTTTTTTTTTAAGTCGCTTTTCAGAATACATGGCCACATATTCAAAGCGCTTCTTTGTTTTTTTTAACCTCTTGGATTTTTGTTTAACAGCATTATAGGGACCCCCCCCCCCCTCGTCTTAAACATCATGGGACCAGCTCCGGTATCAAACTGTGACCTCAGATTGAACTTTGACACAAACCGGTCACGCCCTTCAGTTCAGACCACGTCAGCCGGGACTCGCCACTTGTTGCAGGGATTTAATTTTTTAAGTTAATGTTGGAAGGGCCTGTAAATGAACATGTATAATTTTGATGAAAATAAAAATGTTTTAGCTCTTTTTCCACTTTCAGAAACTTTTAACAGCGAGCGTCACGAGTGTGTAACTGTGCTTGGTTATGCATGTTTCCAACAGCGAGTACTACTGTGGTTCTGTATGTTCTCCCCCCCCCCCCCCCAGACCAAACTGTCCAGCGGCCGGTCTCCAGATGTTGTGCTTTCTCTTGTTTTTACATTCGACATTGTTTTACAGTTGTATATTAAATTGTTTTGTATTTTCAATGTAAATGTTAAGTTTTCATCTTCTTTACATCGACACGCAGCTCGAGGAGCATTTCTTAAAAGTTAAACCCAAAATCTCTTTAGGTCTCTAAGCTAAACTACAACAGAGAAGTAGATAATTATCAAGTAGAACAGTTAAACTAATGTTGTGTCCTGATGAACTGCGGTGTGCTGTTCTCTTTCCAGCTTATTCTCCATGTGTCTCTAGTCCGTCTACAAACCCCCCAATGATGAGAAAAGTCCACCCTCTCTGTCTTCTACCTGCGCCACTTTTCAGAAAATGTGTGCTCAAACAGGCCATTTAGAGATTTTCCCTTCATGACATCACAAAGGGCAGTAGCCCCTCCCCCAGGTGGGTGACACTCCCACAGCTAGGTGTTTGTTCTGCCCTCTGAGTCTGCCTTCTCACTGTAAACAATAGGACATGGAACGAGAAAGACCGAGTACACCCAAGCCCTTTCAGAGAGGGGGCGTGGTCAGACACCGCTCATTTACACATTTAAAGGTACAGACACAGAAACAGTGTTTTGAGCAGGGCTGAATAGAACTACTTTATTGATCCCAAACTGGGAGATTGTGGCGTTGCAGCTGCAGGTTATCCAACACACAATGAGTAAAAAACACAATGTTAGCAATCTAAACACAATATAATATTAACTACAAAGTAAATAAGTACTAAAATATATCAAAAATAAGAAAGTGAAAATATACAACCAGGATTTCACTAAGCATTACTAGTCTTAAATAGGAAGATGAAATAGAGGGGTTTATAGACATGATAAGAGTGGATTTAGAACAAGAAACTTCACATGTTTTGAGGAGCTCTGAGACTTATTTAAACTTGTTGAAGAGGAGAATATGTCACCTTTTAAATCTCTGAAAATCCAGTGCGATGAGTAAACAGACATTTTAAATATGTATAAAAATATGGCAGCAGGTCACTAACAGTCTGACCCTCGTGCCTTCACTGAAACATTTTAAATCTTAAACACTGAATGGTTTTAAATCGATGAAACTGAATCCTCTCTGTAACAAGCGGCTCCTCGTTCAGTTGAGTTCAGCTTTTCTCGACGTTGAGTCAAAACAGCGAAGAAGAAGAAAACACGCACGACATTTCATAAACAAAAAGTTTTATTATTAATGGAACAACTATCTGTACAGGGGAAGTGCTTCTGTCAGAGTACGAACGGTGGAAGATTCAGGGGAGGAACCGCCGGGACGCTTTGAGGCCGGCGCCGTGTTTGCGGAGCAGATCTTTCGCCGCCTGTTGGAGGGACTTGGAGACGGACGGCGAGGACTCGCTGAGGTGGAGGAGAACGAGGCAGCACTCGACGACATCCGGGTGAGGATACACCTGAGAGGAAACACAGACACACGGTTCAGTGAGACATCATGAGAAAACCACTGATGCAACACTCATCCTCTCCTTAGCAACGTGGATCTATCGAGGGATAGCAGACTGTTGCTATGCGTCATTGGCCAATCAGAATCAAGTATTTCACACAGCCTTTTAATTTAAAAAATGTAACTCCCTGTGTTTTACAAACGGAGTCAAAACTATCAGATTCATGTGGTGCGCCCTCTAGAGGACGGATGGGCAACTTTGGTCACAGCAAGGGGACATTTAATTTCTCACTGCCAGGGGGCCAAATTGTAGAATACAAAAACGATTACAGTCGATTCGGTCTCAAATTGAACTCAACATATACCAGTGATCAAATATTATTATGGACATATTTCTGGTTTTCATGGCAGTTTTTTTTGTCATGTTTTCTTCATGTTTCTAGTTAATTGATGTGTAAAAATTGACCTGAGGGTCCACATTGAGGGTTGACAGGGGGCCGCATGTGGCCGGTTGCCCATCCTGTCTGTAGAGGAATCCTCCAGTAACACACGTTGCAGCCGGTTTATGAACATTTATGTTTCTTGACACAGCCGGTTATCTACATCAGAGGTTCTCATACTTTTTTAGACCATTTTCAGGTGAGAATTTTTTCCAAGGACCCCCTCATTATCGTAACGTTGATAAGCATATATTAATACTATGCAATAATGTACGCTGTAGTACTTTGCAACGATAGAATTAAGGCTACATTTATACTTTCCAATAATTCACTTGATAAACTTAGAGAAAATGTTGACTCCGAGGTGGTTTTTGTTTTGAGTTCATATCAGAATTGATTTAATGGCACAAAACTAAAGTGGGCGGGAGTTCTGGACAAAATAGCTGATTCTATTGGTGCAAGAGGTCTCAGTTTGTAGATATGCTTTTACAAGCTATGGTTCGGGGACCTGGGACCCCACCTTGAGAATCACTGATCTAAATGTACAGGTGGTTCAGGAGCAAAAATATCAAAGATCCTCTCTGTGTGTGTGTTTGTGTGACTCAGGGCTCAGAGTTTTTACCCTGATGGAGACAGGGAGCGCAGCCAGCTGTTTCTGGTGCTCGGACATCTTTGCGGACAGAGACAGCAGAGTCTCCGGCTCTTCAGACCTGAAGGAGAACAACATGAACACCCTCAGAAACTGCTAAGGATAAGACACAACGACAGGTAACCATGGCAACCAAAATCCTCCAGGAAGTCCTCACCGCTGTGCAGCATCAGCAGACCCGTGGCTGCCTGACGTCCCCCCTGTGGTGGAGGTCTGTGTGGGTGACTCGACCTCCTCCTCCTCCCCTGATTGGAGCGGCACACTCTGGGCTCTGCTGTGCTGCAGCACCATGGCCGCCAGACGCTCCTGGATCTCCCCGAGCGACCTCTGAGCTGCCTGACAGACGGCGTGAGGTTCAGAAAGAAGCAGAGACGCGTCAAAGTCCGGTTTGTCAAACGTCCTGGTGGTGGTCGAACAGGCGGCGTTCTCTCTCACTCTGGACTCTGACGCTCCTCCTCCATTCACCACTCGGTGCGTCGGCTCGTCTGCAGGACCGGAGTCACCGTCTGAGGGTGAAACGCCGTTCTGCACCCGGGTGGAGTTTTTCCACCAGTGTTCATAGAGGCGGTGGTAGGTGACGAACGCCTGCAGACTGTTAGCCGCAGCTTTGACCTCTTCTTCTTCTTCCTCTTCTTCTGTGTGATGAAGAGTTTTGGAATATTTTCTGGAAAACACACGGACGTCACCTGGAGACGAAAGAGAAAACATCAAGGATTCAAATGGTTCAGAATGGCGTTCAGTTTCAAATAGTCCCAAACTCACACGGCAAATAATGAATTCAAAGAAGTCTCTCTCTCTCTCTCTCTCTCTCTCTCTCTCTCTCTCAGAGAGAAGTCAGAGTGGTGGCTGACATTTATAGAAACATACCGTCCGGGTACAGCAGCCTGCAGAGCTCTGCAGAGACGCAGAAGTGTCCGGCGTCTCTGAACCAGGACACCGCCTGCCACGCCTCCTTCAGCAGCTGGCCGCCATCGTCCAATAAGGAGCTGAGCACGGCCCGGGTCAGGTGGAGGGATGAGTACAGCTGAAGCTGAGACAGTGAGACAGATTACTTTAGAAGCTGGATTAACCCTCAGACATCAGTTTTATTTTACGACCCTCTGAAGTCACTAAGGACAAAAATGTCCACTTCCAAAAAACTGATCTAAAAAAACAACAGATTGATATTTTTTTCTACTTATTTCTGCATAAATCTCTTAAACAACTTCAGTCCTGCTCAACACTACCAAACACTAAATCATCTTTAGGAATTTAACCCTTTAAATGCCAGTCTGATTATATGATTCTGGCATTTAAAGGGTTAAATTCCTGATAATTATTCAATATTTGATAGTTTTGAGCAGGGCTCTGTTCTGTCTGTTCTATTTTTATAGCACTTTTTGTAAATTGGACATTTTTGCCCTCCAGTGTCCAAACAGGGAACTACATTTTAAATCTGATGCTACACAAAAACTAACAATGCATCAAAGTCAATATTTTGGATAATCTTTGACATATCCAAGACTGATTTAAAAAAAAAATCCCCAGCCACCAAATATTTGTTTTATGGAAAATAACTTTTTTTTTTTTTTTTCCATAAATAACAACAGTAACATCAAGTAATCAAACTGTCATTTAAAGGGTTAAATTCCTCAAAATGATTGAATGGTAGTTTTGAGCAGAGCTGAAGTTGTTTAAGAGATTTATGCAGAAAAAAAGGAGAAAAAAATATCAATCCTCGTTCTGCCTCGAGGACTCTTATTACCCAGCATGCACCTGGAGGAAACACTGTGTGTACACTCGAGCGAGCGAGGAGGGCGCACCTGTCTCAGAGGAATGTTGGCGGTCGGCGTCGGACTCTCCACAGACTTTAGCTCCTGCAGCAGATAGGTGGCGCTGTGATTTCCTACCGATTCCTGTGAAACCCCAAACTGCTCCTCCCACACGCCTCGCACCCGGTCCTGGATGCTGACGTGAGCCTCGCCCGGCGACGCCCACGTGTTGCTGGAGGCGCAGGATGCCGGAGATCCAGCGGGCGGGTCGGAGAGCGTCGCAGCCAGCAGCTCGGCGACACACAGATGGAGCCTGTGGACCTGCAGGAAGAAGACGATGATCAGGTCAAAAGACGATTAAACATCACCTCTCATCTGTTTTTCATAGCTCCGCCCCCTCACTGACCAGCAGCGTCTCCTGAGCGCTCAGAACCTCCTGGGCTCCGACCCAGTCCAGATCAGCAGCCAGGTCTTTGGCACACCTCAGCGCCAGAGACTGAGCCAGAGCGACCTCTCCGGAGATTCTCGCCAAGCTGGCCGCCGTCCTCAGAGAGGAGACGTCGTTCTTTCTGGCGATGACTTTGGCGGCGTCGAAG